CCCCCCCCCCCCCCCCCCTTCAACTTGTTTCTTCCTGCTTGTCCACTGCCTTTGACCTTTTTAACTCTGCGTCACCCATGCTGGATACTTGTACATAACTCCAAGTCATCAGACCCACAGCATGGCCTCAAATACCCGAATGTTTACTTTGTGTTTCACTGCTTTTATTGAAATAAACTGACATCCAACATTAAAAAATAAGGGCAGTCTTTGGCAAGTTCTCCCACGCATTTCTGCTGGTCTAGCTGGCTTTCAGCCTGGTGGGATAGCCATGCGCAGCCTGGCCATCTCGCCCTGCCATGCTCCTCCGCTCTCAACAATGTGTTACCAAGTGACCGGTACGGATGCAGGTCAGGAAAGTTCAGGAAAAAAGGTCAGAAAACAATAACTTCTCAGCTGGCATACAAGAGAGGCGCTGCTCACACTCACCAGACTTCAGCCATTTGGAAGTTCAGAAAAGAAAGAGGCAAGGACTCGCCATAAAAGCTGTTATCCCACTTAAATATTGGTGTTTGGTAGGAAGATGATGCTTCTAAAGGTAGCAAGACGTCCATGACCCTTCCTCTTCATAGCACAATTGCTTGCACTCACTCAGCAGCTTTTGAATGGGGTTTTCAAAAAATACCACAATCATGATACGAATCTCTTCGGGGATCTGGGGGATTTATCTTCTTAAACCATTTAAGCCCTTTGGAAAATATACTTTGTGCCCTGAGGGACATGAACTGCAAAAAAAGTAGATGATTTGCTGTATCAAAGCAAACCCTAGACAAAATAAAACCTAAAAGAAACAATAAGCATTATGCATGCTGAATGCCAGTACACCCAGCACTTCAAACAAGTGTGAAGTATTGAGACAGAACAGGAACAAATGGCTTTGTCCTTGTATTTCTTCCACAAGGCCACAAGCAAAGCCATCAGAAGTAAACAGAAAAAGATCAGTTCATCATACCCAAATGGTGCTTCACCAGCCAGGAGTGCAACCCACAACCAGGGACATGCTTTTAAACTATACCTACTGTGTGTGTTAACATTACTCAGCAAGTTCAGTACCGAGCTTTAAAATTACTACTATCCATCCATCCATCCATCCATCCATCTAGATATATCATCTTACTCTCATATCCCATCAGGGTAGCAGCAAAATGAGTTAACAAAATAATTTCTGTGTTCAACTCACGGGTCGACTTTCATCTGAAGTCCAAGATAAACGCAACCTTTGATGGAGATAAACGTCTAAAATTGGAGACGGTCTACTTGAGCCCTGTGAATCAGCAAAGCTGGATTTCAGTATTGGCAGCTCTGAAACAGGTTTGATGCTTGCTGTGAAGAGAGAGAAGCAGGCTCTGCTGCTTCTCCTGCAATACAGTGCATGAAAGCTGCTCTTCCTGAATTCACCCGTTCATTTCAAGCATCGTTATCACTTATTAAATGCATCTGGTAACCAGAAAACCTGTAAAAGCAATTCTCTTTGGCATATCCTCTCTATCAGTGCCCAGCACCTTCCAGTGCTACGGGACATGTAATAGTGCAGCAGAATTACCAGCAATTCTCTCTTTCCTACAGTTTTCTGTCGTGCACAGTACTTATGGTACCACCCAGAAACTGTTTAAATCCAAGTGCTCCCAGGCTTTATCCTACATGTACAGGGAGGCAATATAAAATACTCTGTTATTGAAAGCGTAGCTCAGTTTGATCTGTATTTATAGAAACAGTATTTTGATTATTTGTGAGTCATGACTTAATATCTGTTATGAAAAAAAGGGATGACAGACACAAATGCCATGTTCTGATGTGGCTGAATCATGTCCCCACAGGTTTGTTTGCACTCACTGAGCCAAACCAAGAAGCCCTCCGGTGGAGCTGCCCCTCCTCCCCATGCAGACATGCTGAAAAGCATGGTTTGCACCTGATAAAATATTGAAACCAATTATTTACTCTCAGCCTTGTTTTGTATTAATGGAGACTACTCTTATTAAAAACTTACAATGCTGTAACTACAGTGGGGTGCACACACGCCTAAATTATCCATCTGCAATGTGGACACTGAACTGCACTGGTAAAATTCCAATTAGTCACCCAAAACTCAATCCATGGAAGAGAATAATACCCATCACACCTCAGATGATCCTCTTCCTAAATCTCAGCATATAAGCACTTCTTGGGTGCTTAGCCATCTTCTGTATAGGATGAGTGGGGAAGTCGACGCTGTCTTGTGAAAAAATCAGATTTCCTAGCAAGTTTGCCAGCTGAGGCGATGGGTGTGGAATTTGTGCTCCACCAGAAGTGAAGCTTCTCTCTCAGGGCAAGCTAAACAAACACGTTTGTAAGTTCATATAAACTTGATCCACAGCAAAGGAGGAGCCAAAAATAACAGGCTCCATTCCAGCCTTGCAGATCTCCCTTTCTACAATTTTACTCGAGTACTTAGCTCTTCCTCAAGTGATCCACTAAACGAGGCTAAATTTTATACTGAGCTGCACAATTATCCCATATATTTCAATACGCTTATATACCTATAATGTTCTTCTCGGGCAACTTCATGAGCATCTCGTATTTCAGAGGGAGTAGACATACCTGAGTGAGACAGACCTCATACACTGTTAAAAAAAAAGCCTGTTTTCTTAAGAGTAGCTTGTGATTTAACTATAGATCCTGCTATTTTAAAATAATTCTGAATACTGCCTCATTATTAAAAAATGCAGAGCAAAACAGAGCACTAATCCTGCTTAAACACAGCCTGTCTCTTGGGTCAAACTCGGAGACTCATTCCTACAACCAGGTTTCCTTTCCCCTTTCCCCTTCCCTCCCAGACCAGGATCAAGAAAATTCTTCTTGGGAAATGCAGAGACAGGACCATCACACCTTTGATCTATGGTTAACCATCACTATCCTAACCGTGCATTGTCCATGCCTGCGCAAGCATCTGCTATAACCTGAAACTCTCTGGAGGATATCTCAATTGCAATCACGTTATTTCGACGCTACATCCTTTGCAAGAAGCACGCAATTCCCTCTGACTGCATGACATGTTGCCAGGGTATTTTATTTGAGACCAGCTGCTGCTAAGATGGAAATGCCCAGGGAAATGTATTTTAACATCAATCTGTGATTGCAGAGCAACAGGCTGGGGTGCAACATGTCTTGTGCACACTTGAAATGGAGAAGTAACAGAGACACAGATGGCTGAAGATGTGACTTGTAGCCGTCCGCGCACAATGTATTTCATTAGGACAACAGATATAAGCTTTATTGAGACTCTTCCACCATCGGGTACATCTGCTCCTTCAGCACATGCACTTCGTGGACACGTGCCAGCCCTGGGACACCTCTCCCTCCAGCTTCTTCATACCTTCTCCTGTATGTGTGTCATCTCTCATACTGGGGTAAACGGATGGACAACCTCTCCACCTGGAGATGTGTCCTGCACAAGCAGCTCCACCAGCATTGCAGAGGGGAGAGGCAGTAAACATCAGGAAACCATTGGCAGTGCTACTGCTCTCCTAAACATGTAGGCCTGGGGCAGTAGATAGGGAAGACAATAGGGAAGGATTTGAATTTTAACCTTGAAATGCCTGAATTGCAACTGGTGAGATCAGGCACTCCTGTACCCAACAGTGGGGGCCACCAGCTCTGCAACACCCCCGTCACCGCATCGGTATTTAGAGGAGAAACAAGATTTCACGAGTTGCCTTTGAACTTCTGTCAGATTAAAAAATCCTAATATTCACGAATTACATAAAGGCCAAAACTTGCGGTTAATCAAGCAGAAACAAGCCCAATGCGAGCCAAGGGTTTGATTAACACAGTGTCAGATAAGCTTATCCTTAAGGCTGCTGAAATTTATCCTTTATTGGTAATGGGGTTAGAAGCAGCAGCGCTCTGTCTAGAAACAATTACTTATGGTCAAATTCATCAACAATAAGGTCTGACAATCCTTTATTTATAAGCTTATTTCACAGCACCAGAAGAACTAGGGATTTAACAAAACAAATGAACCCAGTTTAGTTCCTGGGGGCCACAAGAAGCTAAACTATGCTCTGTATTACGTTAATTTGGTGAAGGTCAACGGTTTTCAAGTTTTTGGGTTTTTTTTTCAACACCATGAGCCACAAGCGGAGCCACTAATGGGGAAATGGACACCGAGCACGTCCTGAGCAGCTTTCTCCATTCTGGATCTCAGCATCACATTACACATTATGGTAGGTCATACAAGAATGTTTCTTGGGAACATTTAAACAGCTTTCTAAAAATGTAAGCCAATGCCTCATCACCCTTTAAATCAGGATGATGTATTCCCTCTTCCCTCCGTTTCGGGTGACAGGTGTTGCAGCCAGTTACTTCACTGCCCAACCATCCACAAAATAAAATAATGAAAACCATACAGATAACACATACAGATAATAGAAATAACCATCTTCATGATACTAGTTGAAGGTTTTTCTGAATATATATATACATATTTATACAGATACACACACCTGCACAAGATTAGTTCTGTGCAATGCCTGGAGTGTGCTCATATAGATCCAGGACATATTCTTACTCATTTATTTTTTCTTAATTATTTTGCCAAAATTATGCCATACTAGGCAGGTCTATTACAAAATTTCTCAAAGGCGTATATGACATTGTACATAGGTATGAGTACACACACACATCTTTCCAGGCAGGGCCTTATTTGTGCTGAGGTTACCTTACGTTAAAGTTCCCTTTATTCCCTTTACCCTATAACTCCTTTTACTACCAGTCTAGTGTAGGTCAATCCAGCTGGACTTCTCAGAGTACCGGGTTTCCCATGAAGACATCACTTTTAAGCACTGTAGCAGAAGGCTGTTAGCCCATGGTAATATTTTACTCCATTTCTTTTCAACAAACACACAAACCCCACAAAATGGAGAAGGGTTACGTGTTGGTAATGAGATGAGAACACGGGTACTGTCAGGTCCTCCTTCCTTGCAATTTTTCTCACCAAATCGTAAGGCATGCGATTCTCTTGGGCTCCCACATACACTGAAAATGAGTAAATGTCATGAATTGTAAAGGAAAATACTTCAGCTAGCCTATCTGCAAAAAAAGGTTAAAACCAAGATTAATCTCTAAACTAAATTAAACAGAGGCCTCAAAGTACAGCCATTTATTTTAAATGGCTTTCCAACACCACCACCACGTCTCTTAATTTTATGGCAGGAAATAATTTCACCCTCAGAGCTCCTCCTTGACATTTCGAACCCCAAAAGACCAACTGGGTAAATACACAGATTTTAACCCAAACAACTAGCACCACTCAGATTTCTGGAGTGCTGATCTATAGCCCAAGGCCATACACATGTCACCGGTATGCCAGCTGGGACCATTTTCCAATTTCATCTCTTTTTCTTAGCTTGTGCCAACACTGCCTTGCCTTGGTCCTCTGCGGGGCAGCAGCTGTGGAAGGACATTTGGAGGGGGACTGCAAGGAATGCAGACATCTTCTCCCTGGGAAGGCATTAGAGCAGCAGTCTCGGAGACGGTCTCCTTCCCATGTCCAGCTTATGAGCTTGCAAAACTCTTTTGCTCTTGCAATCTCTCAGGCAACATCCTCTTGTGGTCTTTTGGCACATTGCTTTCTTGGTAAATATGTATGTTTAAAAT